TGGAGGTGGGGGGGGGCTGACCTGGAGGACCTCATCTGCCTCCCGGCGCCCCAGGACCGTCACAAACAGCACCACTCCCTGTTGTGGAGCCGCCACGGGGCGAGACTGCAGGGCTGCCTTCCGTGGAACAAACTCACATGCGGCCTATTTTGAGACCAACAGCCCAAATCCATCCATCTTGACATTTCCAGCAAGTCTCCTTTTTCCCTGGCACGTTCCGCACACTGACGTGCCGCTGAGGCAATTCTGCTTCCCAGCGACCATGGCGAAAAGAGCGGACAGCGCCCCCTCCCGCGTCCTCCTCCCCCTGCTGCAGGCAGTGTCGGTCCCTCTCACCAAGGGCCGTCCTCCTTTAGCTGCCCCTATTTACCAAGCCTGACGTCCGTCTCCAGGCCAGTCCCTTCCGGTCCCTTGTCCCAAGTAGGTGAGATGACACCTTACCACCCTATCTCCTAAGGAGCACCGGTGACAAACAGCCAGAGGGGCCCATTGCTATAGAGCAACTGCAGAGCTCTGTACAGAGCCTTGGAGGGAGGGGTGGCATTTTGCCACTCAGACCCTCTGTCTCCTCTTCGGTAAAATGGCACGGAGCCAAGAAAGGTGTGGTACAGCGCATCCCTGACCTGGCTCTCCTAGCCAGTCTGCAGACCACTGGATGGGACCGCGCAAAAACGCAAAACGAAACTCACGGCTGTCAAGTAGCTGCTGGCTCAGAATGACCTGCAGGACAGGGTGGGACTGCCCGTGGGTTCCTGAGACGCACTCTTTCGGGAGCAGAGATCCTAGTTTTTCTCCTGCAGAGTGGCTGCTAACCTTAAGGGGGGTGGCTCAACTCCCAAGCCCTCTCCTCTCAGAGAGATGAGGCCCTCTGCTCCCACAGCCATGGAATCACCGGGCACAGCCCCACTTCCTGCCCTACAGGGATGCCAAGGGCAGGATCTTCTCTATGGCCGTAGCGCAGGTTTTATACAGACACACAGGTTCAGGTGGGCCCGGACGAGGTTGGGGTCCTGGGTTCTCTGGATCAGCGGGCGGGGCCAGGACTCAGGGGGTGGTGGGAGGCATGGTTCTGGTCTGCCCTCCCTCCCCTCCTAGAGAGGGGGGACCCCAGGCCACGCCCACCTGGCTCTCTGATGGGCCG